ACATATTTAGTGAATCATTTAAAATGAAAGTGTAGATTTGTTGGGCGGTTAACTGTCTTGCAGCTTCATTGCACACGGTGTAAGTTCTTTGTCCAAAACGTGAATGACTAAACCATATTGGATTAGTTAGGATCTTTGTTTGATTTCAGAAAATGATAAAGTACCTGTATCATTCTGTTCACTGATTTGGCTTAAGGTTTGTGCTAATTTTTATCTTATTTTTTTGCACATGTACACTCGGGAGCGCATTTGGAGTTGTGATACAACTCCGTTCATCTGTCCCAATCAGATTTGTGCTCATCGATACATTATAAGCTCGTGTCTAGCAGCCTTTATCGCATCAAAAGTGTCCAACGCTTCCCTCTCGCTTTCCTTGTCGTTTCAAAGTTTCATGTCCCTTATACACATATATGTGCTGCTATTTTTGACTAACATTTTCCATATTCCCGTATTTATGTTTATGCTTGCTCTTATTTTGTTTGGTTTGGAACAACTAAGATCGATGGTGAAGTATAGTCGCTCACCTCGCATCCCTTTAGACATTGGGTTCATTTATAGTTATTTAGCTTGTAACAATATTTTCCAACTTAGTTTTATTTGTTACTGGACACTTTGTGGTCACAAAAGCATGTCTTTTCAAAGGGAGGAACTAGGGAACAATCTCTTCAAAATGTTAACTTCCTATTTCAGATTTGTGTTTGATAAACCAAGTGCTTAAAGTATGACTTTGGGTAGCCCAAAGCGCGGATTTTTAGTAGCCTAAAGTGCGGATTTTGGTGGTTCAAAGTGCAGATTTTAAGGTTGAGGGAAGTGCAGATTTTTATGATTAAGTAAATCACTTTCTTGACAGCTATAAGAGTGGTATATTTAGTCTAAAAAATGCAGCCTTTTGAGTTCAAAAGGGTGCAGATTTTGAGCTCAAAAAATGTGCACAGTTTGAGTGTAAAAACTACAGATTCTGAAGCTCAGAACACTGCCCTTTTGTGGGCTTTGAGGTGCAAAATTCAAGCTCAAAAAATACAGATTTTAAAGATAAAAACTACAGTTTTTATAACAACTTTGTTTTTTACAAATTTTTAAGTGTAAAATATGCCATTTTTTAGTTTGAAACCTATTTCTCTTAGGACTTAAAAGTACATATTTTGAAACTAAAACATCATAGTTTGAGGGATTAAAAGTGCACTATTTCTAAGAGTGCAAAACAAGTATTATAGTTTGTTAGAATTGTGGTTCTTTTAGTCTTAAAAGAATGTGTGGCTTAAGTTGTTTGTTCCAAGTAAAACCAAATACTTTAAATTTAAATTTGCAAAAAGTATTGCCGTTTTCCTTCTTATCTATACACATTTATCACTACCCTTTTATAAATCTAATAGCTTGTTATCTTGTAGAGCTTATGAACAAATTTATTCATTTTTTGATATCTTATTAGCCTAAATTTGACAATAACCATTTTAGTGACTCCTTAAAGGATGCTTAACGCTTTCTTTATGATAATAAAAATTTCTTACCTAAAATTACACAAGTTAAATATACCATTAATAAGGATTAATCTTAGAATTATTTAGTTCAATATTTAGATTTTCTTTACCTTTGAAATAATTAGACGCCAATTTTTAAACCTTAAAAAGCTAAAGGTAGAACAACCTTGAGTTGGATTGCCTCAATAACCAGATCGATTTTTATTCTTTAAATCACCCTTTTATAAAGAAATTGTGCTTACTATTATCATTATTGTTATTTTCAGATATTGCTAAAATATTTTAATCTCTTAACATGTTATTTCAAGATTTTAGATATGCCAACAGGTTCAAAATACAAGGTACACATATATATGTCATACACATAAAGGTATATATTCTATATTTTCTCTACATAATCAATTATATTTTATCTACTATTCCGAATGTTATTTATTTATCTTTATAAATTTATTCCTACACTTTACACATTATTTTACCAAATACAATTTATCGTCAACTTATCCCTACATGTAAAAAGAATGATGAACATTCATATATTTTACACAACTTACATGTATATACCACACTTTATAATAAACATATTTAAGATTACAAACCTTCATATAATATTTTAACATCTAGTATTTTTTATTCTATTTTATTTTAGAAAACTCCATTTTACGTATTTTCATTACACATCTCATATTACTACGTATTCACACCCGACTACTATCTTATTTTCATTTCATGTCTTAAATAAGACGTCAGGTTCTCGCAAAATTCAACATCTATATATTTTTAGGATAAATTTTACAACTATATATATCTTTACATACAAATTTATCATACATTTAAGTACATTTATTTATTTATTTATTTATTTTACAATATGATAAAATACTACTATTAAAGCTATTTTATAAGACTAATATATGAAGTACCTTGTATTGTACTCTTTTCTTAAATATAATAAAATTTACTTATCATTGATTTTAAAACAAATAAATAAACACGTTTTCCTAATTATATTTTCCTAAATTAAGTTTAAGGACTATCTTCGGATAGGCTCTGAGGGGTGCTTAACACCTTCCCATCGAGTAACCAAAATCCTTACTCAGAATCTCACTGGTTTCGCAAATCAAAACAGAGTTTACCTTTACATATTTTAAGAAATGGTTTTCCTAATATTTTCCTTAAAATTTAGGTGGCGACTCTAAAACAAACAATTTTTTTTCCAAAATTAGAGTGGCAGCCATATTATGTTGTAAACTGTTTCGGCCGGTTCGAAATAGGGTGCGACAAGAAGCATGTGTGTTTTGGAGACACTCAGATTTCTAAGTCATGGTTCAAGGTCTGTCATATGTCTTTAGTCACGGTTCGAGGCCCTGACATACATTTATCAGCCTAGGTTCGAGGCCCTAGCATATCTCTTTCAACCTCGGTTCGAGTTCGGGCATCACCTCTATTTGTCGGGTTCGAGTCCTAATCTTGGTGACTCTATTGATTTATTTGGGTTTCCATTACTACAGTTTGAGTCTGTGGATGGTTGTGGCAGTTCTGGGATTCTCTTAAACATAATTATCTTAGTAGATTACTTAACTCTTCTGTATACTTATCGGGCTTATGGGGGTCCGTTTAGTTTATTTACTTTCAATTGCGCACGATTGTACCTTCTAGGCTTATGGGGGTCCAATTAGGTTATAGCTAGCTATTTACCTTTCTGTTTTCCCTTTCCTAGACTCGTGTGCACTATAGTTAGTCTTTCATCATCGCTTCGCTCGTTTGACCTCCTATTGTTTTACTTCTCGCTTTTCATTATTGTCTTTAATTTTCAAGCCCAGTCGACCTATGATGTCTACTGGTACATGTTGTTTTGGTACTTATACTGTAACACCCCGTAATTTACAAAACCAAAATGCAGAATTCCAGAAGTTGTAGGCGCCACCAATGGAGGCCACCTATGGACCTTAGGTGGGGTCCGTGATTGGCCCCCTGCAACTCCCTCCCTAGAACACCAGAAAATTCTGCTGAGTCCAGAATCACACCAGGACCTACGGACCGTAGGTGGGACCACGATCCGTGGTTCCGGCCCCAGATTTCTGTCCTCTGAAGCCAAACGACGCCCTGCCAGGACGGACCGTCGTTCAGTCCACGGTCCGTCGGTGGTTTCGGAAAACTTTAAGTCAGGGGTCTTTTGGTCTTTCCCTTATGCGTTGGACACCTAAACTACGTCGTTTAACCCCTAAACTACGTCGTTTTGGTCAGTTTTAGTCTAGTAACTTAATCAGACTTTACCCTAAGCGATTCATTCACCAAAAATTTAGAAATCTTAGACCAAAAGAGGAGAAAGAGTCGACCAAGCCCTCTCCAAGAATGCAACAAGTTTCCCTCAGTTCCAGCCCCGAAATCAAAATATTTCTTTGTGGAGTTCGTCACCAGGTATGTGGATTTCACTAGTGGGTTCCTTTCACCCATTAGGTCCCTAGAATTAGATTCTTAATTCCCTTCATTATGTTTAGACTTAGGGTTTCTAAAACCTCATATTATTGTTGTGATTTAGCTGTTAGATTAATCCTAATTTGAATATTACATTTTCGTAACCATATTGCTAAATTCTTGCATGAAATTCAGAACCCTAGTTGTGTAGATTCGTTTAGTTCATGAATTACACTTGCTAGGTCAGTTTATACATATATACATGCATCAATTTTCAAATGTTTCATTACCAGTACTTAATGTTGCATTTTGAGTTAGCATGTCAGAATCTCGAGTTATCCAGTTTATTTCAGTTATGTTGTATTTTATACATTCTATTGGGAGTAGGCTTAATATCGAGTCGGACTAGGGTCAGTCACCCTCATAGTCCCAGAACTACGTGCCCGCGTATGATAAGTCTCCTCTATGCGCACCATATTTAGTGATCACGCCAATCATGCCTTTATACCCCTGGCAAGGTATATTGGGTCCTCTCGATGGGGGGTAAACATCGTACTCCACATTTAGCTCACGTGATTTTATGTCGGTTATTAGTAGCTCCCACAACCAGATTCCAATGCATGGACCAGGTTATCAGTTACAGTTCAATATTCAATTTCAGTATGTTATGAACTTGGTCATTGCATTCAGTTTAGTTCACATTCAACATGTTTAGTATATTCTTCATGTTCATCTTATATCATTGATCATTATGCTTTATTTCAGTTATGTATATGTTGTTCAACTTTATCTTATCATACATGCTCAGTACCTTTCAAGTACTGAGGCATACTCTGCGCTACATCTTCTCGTGATGTATGTTCATGTCCTCAGCATTCTAATAACGTGTAGATCGATTCCTGATCCATATTCAGCAGTATCAGTGGTGATTCCTCATTCTTCGAGGACGATTGACATGTTTTCTATTCAGTCTTTCCTTTTTAGTTTCACTTTTTCTAGAGTTAGCTGGGACATGTCCCAGCATCTCTAGTCAGTTAGAGGCTTATTTCAGACATAGTTAGATTCCGTTTTAGCTTGGAGTTTGATCTTTCAGTTGTCATTAAACTCACAGTTTATATATTCAGATAGTAGTGGGTATTCCCCATTTTAGTTTATATCATGTTTTAAGCTTCCTCACAGTATTTCTCTTTCCAAATTTATCTAGTATGCTATGATATGCCAACTCAGGGTTAGCTTGGGGTCACTCGTGATCCTAGGTTCCGTGTTTACGTCAAGGGGGTAGCCTCGGGGGGTGACATATACTACACTCTATATCTATTTTCTTGATGCAGATCCAAGCACCAATCGTTAACGTTGATTTCGAGCATGTTATAGGGATATTCTGAGATCGAGGGTGGGTTTATGGCATCCTGAATCAGCCTATCTCCTTCTATATATAGTTTGTGGCTAATCTTTTGTATATGAGTCAAGTATGCATTTTTGGTCCACTTTTGAGACTTGTACTCTTTTTTGTAGCTCTGTACTTGTGACTTCCAGGCCGTGGGATTGGATCTTTCATTTTGGTTTGTAATATTATATTGATCTTATCTTCCGCTGCTTTCATTATAATTGTTTTTGTTTTTTTTGTGTGTTGGTTGTTGTTTCTACTCGATATGCCCGTTACTTGTCGTTTTGGAATATGGATCGACTTACTTACTAGTGGTGGAGTATGGTAGGTGCCATCATGACTCGAGGTTTGGGTCGTGACATTCTAATAGTTCGAGGGCATTTTTCTTTCCTTTGTTTGCCATGCTGGACTGTCATCTCAGCAATCTGAATGGCTTATGTGGACATTCTAATGTTGTAAGGGTATTTGTGGTCCAAAAAATAGATGAGAAGGGTATTTTTATACCAAAAACAAATGGAAGATAAATGTGAGCTATTTCGAATAGTTCAAAGATATTTTGACATTTTTTCCGTTAATAAAATTAATCTACATAGAACGAAATTAAAAAAAAACCTATACTCAACAAATTATGAGCCTTTGTTTATTTAAAAATTGTAAGATATATTAACGGGTAAAGCCTAAAAATAAGGTAATATCCAAGAAATTTCTTTATCATTGACAAATATCATTGACAAAGAACCACTATTAGACTTTGTTGCATTTATTGAAGATTAAAAAAAACCAGGTCAAAAACAAGAATATGAATATGTACAATGGACAGCTAACGTGCAAGCCTAGCTTGCAATTATTCAATTCAACTGAAATTTCCACTTGTATTAAATGTGTTGTGTTCATATTACTGTGGACCCCATAACAATAATTCATGAAAACTTTTCATATTTGTTGTCCTGTATACAATAATGGTCCCAAATATCATCAATTTTATCTGTCCACACCCTTCTTATCTTTCTTCTCAAATTTCAACAAATCAATCAATCGGATCCATGGCACCATCTTCTTCTCTTGTAAGCAATTCACAGTACTGTCCTCGATGGAAGTACGATGTCTTTCTGAGTTTTAGTGGTGAAGATACTCGTAAAACATTTACAGGTCACTTGTACGAAGGTTTGAAAAACAGGGGAATATTCACCTTTCAAGATGATAAAAGGCTAGAGCATGGTGATTCGATTACAGAAGAACTCTTGAAAGCTATCGAAGAGTCTCAAGTTGCCCTTGTAGTTTTTTCAGAGAATTATGCTACATCGAGGTGGTGCTTGAATGAACTAGTGAAAATTATGGAATGCAAGAAGGAAGAAAATAGACAAATAGTCATACCGATATTCTATAATGTGGATCCAGCACATGTTCGTCACCAAAGAGAGAGCTTTGCAAAAGCATTTGCCAAACATGAATCGAAGTATAAGGATGATGTCGAGGGAATGGAGAAGGTGCAAAGTTGGAGGATTGCCTTAACTGCTGCCGCAGATCTAGAAGGATATGACATCCGCCAAGGGTGAGTTAAAAAAAAAGTGTAGTTTAGACGTTAGAAATGCTTATTTAAGTCCTTTATTTTTTTATGAAAAAAATGTTTATAGACACTTTTTTTTAAAATTTAATATATAATCACTTTATTTTCAATTTTAGCACTTCAACTCAAACATCTGAATGGTGCTTATTTATTAAACCAGCTCCCCCACATGAAAAGTATTTCTCAGCACTAATAGTATGAAATACTTATAATACATTACTTTATTATGCTTATCCACAATTAATGTTCTTATTTATGTAGGGTTGAATCAGAGAACATTCAACAAATTGTTAACCAAATTTCGTCCAAATTATGCAAGACTTCAGTAGCTTATTTGCAAAATATTGTGGGAATAGATACTCACTTAGAGGAAGTAAAATGCCAACTAAAGCTTGGAATCAATGATGTTCGAATTGTGGGGATCTGGGGCATGGGGGGAATTGGTAAAACGACAGTAGCAAGGGCAATTTTTGACACACTCTCGTGTCAATTTGCAGATGCTAGTTTCATTGCGGATATTAAAGAAAACAAATGTGGAATGCATTCTTTGCAAAATATCCTTCTCTCAGAACTATTAAGGAAAAAAGATAATTATGTGAATAATAAGGAGGACGGAAAGCACATGATAGCTCGTAGACTTCGTTTTAAGAAGGTTTTAGTTGTGCTTGATGACATAGATCACAGAGACCATTTGGATTACCTAGTAGGAAATCTTGATTGGTATGGTGATGGGAGTAGAATTATTGTAACAACTAGAGATAAGCATTTGATTGAGACGAATGATGTAGTATATGAAATGACTACACTAGCGGACCATCAAGCTATTAAATTGTTCAATCAATATGCTTTCATCAAAGAAGAAGTTCCAAACAAATGTTTTGAGAAGCTCTCAATGGAGGTTGTACATCATGCTAGAGGCCTTCCTTTAGCCTTGAAAGTGTGGGGTTCTTTATTACATAAGAGGGACATAACCGAGTGGAGAAGTGCTATCGAGGAAATGAAAAATAACTGTAATTCAGAAATTGTTGAAAAGCTTAGAATTAGCTATGATAGATTGAATATCATACAACAAGATATATTTCTGGATATATCATGCTTCTTTCGAGGGAAAGATAAAGATTATACCATGCAAATTCTTGAGAGCTGTTATTCTGGAGCAAATATCGGATTGCGTATCTTAATGGACAAATCTCTTGTGTTCATCTCTATAAATAATACTATTGAAATGCATGACTTAATACAAGAGATGGGTAAATACGTGGTGAAAATGCAAAAAAAATCGGGAGAACCTAGCAGAATATGGCACACTGAAGATTTCAAAGAAGTTATGGCCAACAAGACAGTAAGTAGGTTAAACAGCGCAACATTATTCAATTTCCAGTTTTCATATATTGAAATAAATTTGTCTTATGTTATTAAGCCATTATTTAGTCTAGTAGCCATTTAGTATGCTTATCAAGCTTTCAAATCATTGAATTAACTTGAAATTTGTATGATATTGTCATTTTACAAGATGACAGTTATTAGTACTTTTTCATTTTACAAGATAACTTGAAGTGCGGCACTTTTGTGAGATTCTTATCTGAACTATCATGTGTTTATCGCCTTATATATAGCCTTATGCAAATAGTGATATCGGTAAGTTTATTGTACACAACATTTGAAGTTATGATTTGTTAATTTATGATCTTTTTACTAGGGAACCATGACAATAGAAGCAATTTGGTTTACTTGCTTTGAACAAATATGCTTTAATAAAGAGGCGATGAAAAATATGAAAAGGCTTAGGATATTATGCATAGCTGATGGTAGGCTAAACCGTTTCTCTTCGCCCCATTCTTCCATTGATTCGAAATACATTCTCAACGGCTCCATTGAGTTTCTGTCCAACAACTTGCAATGGGTTTACTGGGAGCAATATCCTTGGGTGTCATTGCCAGACAATTTTAAACCCCAAAGGCTTGTTCATCTCTATCTCGGGTGGAGTTTGTTGCATGATTTATGGACAAAAAGAAAGGTACCGCTTTATTTGAGATACTTTCTATTTGGTTTGTCCTTGAATTATAATGTTTGTGATTAAATGAAATTAAGATATTAGTTTCATAAACACCTTTATTTAGTTTCTGAACATTTATATAAATGAAAATTAAACAATTTCTTTCTATGTTCTGATAGGAGCTTTTGCCGTGTCTACGATGGCTAGATCTCAGCTTCTCTGATAGGCTGATGCAAACACCAAATTTCACGGGGATGCCAAATTTGGAGTGTTTGAATCTGAAGAGATGTAGGAGTCTTAAAAAGGTGCATCCTTCACTGGGAAATTGCAAAAAACTCAATAAGTTAAGTTTGTATCGTTGTAAAAGCCTTGAGAGGTTTCCATGTGTTAATGTGGAGTCTCTTGAACATCTGGATCTAGAGGGCTGCTTAAAATTAGATAAATTTCCAAATTTCTTTGGGAGAATGAAGTTGGAGTTAGAGATTAAGGTAGAAGGCACTGGTATAAGGGAACTGCCCTCATCTATTCAGTATCTAACTCATATTACCAAGAAACATTTGCTAGGCATGAAAAACCTTGAAGCTCCTTTTACGGAGCTAGATTTGGCGGGCATGAAAAAACTTATAGCTCTTCCGAGCAGCATTGGCATGTTGAAAGGTTTGGTGAAGCTAGATGTGTCATGGTGCTTAAAACTTGAAAGCTTGCCAGAAGAGATAGGTGATTTAGAGAACTTGGTGAATCTTGATGCGAGCTGCACTAGAATTTCAAAACCTCCATCTTCCATCGTCCGCTTGAACAAACTTAAATTCTTGAATTTTGCAGGACAATGTTTAGAAGATGGAGTGTACTTTGTGTTCCCTCAGGTGAATGAAGGGTTACGCTCATTGGAAATTCTGAATCTCAGTTCATGCAATTTAATAGATGGAGGACTTCCAGAAGACATTGGATGCTTATCGTCTTTGAAAAAGTTGGATCTCAGTAAAAACAATTTTGAGCATTTGCCTCGAAGCATAGCCCAACTTGGTGCTCTTGAAGCCTTGTACTTATCATATTGCAAGAGGCTTACTCAGTTGCCAGAATTTCCGGAGCAGTTAGATAAAATAGATGCATATTGGAGCAATGATTCAATCTGTAATTCGTTGTTTCAGAATATCTCATCATTGCAGCAGCATGACATCTCTGCTTCAGATTCCTTGTCATTAAGAGCGTTCATTAGTTGGGAGGAGAATATCCCTAGTTGGTTCCACCATCGAGGATTTGATAAAAGCGTATCAGTCAATTTGCCTGAAAACTGGTACGTTCGTGATAACTTCTTGGGATTTGCTGTATGTTACAGTGGTGAATTAATTGACATGACAGCTCAGTTGATTTCCTTATGTGATGATGGGACCTCGGGTATCACCCGGAAGCTTGCCTTATCCAACCATTCAGATTGGAATTCTAAAATTTATTTTTTCTTGGTACCTTTTGCTGGCTTATGGGATACATGTAAGGCAAATGGGAAAACACCAAATGACTATGGGCTTATTACATTATGTTTCTCTGGAGAAATGAACAAGTATGGATTACGTTTGTTGTATAAAGATGATCCTGAGCTTGACGCGAATTGCTCCTCTTCTACGAAACATTCTTATATTCTTGGGAGAGTGGTTAGTCTCTTCAGCTGCATTAATTGATCTCTGTTTTAATAATTTTAATTACTTAAGCTCTTCTCATATATGGTTAGCACTGTTTTTGATTGCTTGTTTATCAACGTGTTGTCGATGATAAAGAAATTAGTGGGTACTTTTTCTCTCCAGCTTCGTCTGTTTGTAGCACATATTTGTTTGTGGATCTTCTAATACAGTTCAAACAAAATTTTCACAATACTGTCCTCGATGAAAGTACAATCTCTTCTTAAGTTTTAGAGATGAAGATACTCATACAACAATTACGGGCTACTTGTATGAACTTTTTACAAGGAGGGGAATAATCACCTTTAGAGATTATAAAAGGCTAGAGCATGATGATTTGATCCCAGAAGAACTCTTGAAAGCTATTGAGACTCTCAAGTTGCCCTTGTCATTTTCTCAAAGAATTATGCCACATTGAAGTGGTGCTTGTATGAACTAGTGAACACATGGAATGCCAAAAGGACGAAAATGGACAAATAGTCTTACCAGTCTTCTATGATGTTGATGCAACAGATGTTCGAAACCAAAGGGGAGCTTTGCAGAAGCATTTGCCAAAAAAATTGTGGTGATGGCCTGATAGGATGCACGCAGAAGGTGCAAGTATGGAGGACTTCCCTAACTGCTGCCACAAATCAGAAAGGATATGTATTGTGAGTTAGACGAAAGGAATAATTTTTAAGACAATCTACACATTATTATATATTACTTTATCAAACAAAGATTCTCTACCTCAAAAATGAGTCAAACAGAATCTTAAATAACTTAATTTTCTGAAAATAGTCTGATTTATGTGCATAGTCCTTTTAATCATAATTGTGGATTCTACAATGTGAAATACTACTTCTTAGTTTTCATTCTTGACTTTTTTTTTAACCCTCCCTAGGAGCTCCCACCCCTTTGCTCCCTTGGTGACTCGAACTCGTAACCTTCAGGTTGGAAGTGAGGGGTGCTTACCATCCGAGCAACTCCCTCTCGTCTATTCTTGACTTTTTAAATTGTATATATTAGAATTTTTTTGTAGGATTGAATCAGACTGTATTGAGCGTATTTTTGATACAATTTTGTCCAAATGCATGACTTCACTATCTTATTTGCACAAAGTTGTGGGAATAGCTACTCAGTTAGAGAAAGCAGAATCCCTACTACAGATTGAAATTGATGATGTTCGGATTGTGTGGATCTTGGGAATGGGGGGAATCGGTAAACGACAATAGCCAAGACTATTTTTTGGAAACTTGGTTCTCTTATTGTTGTCTATGATAAAAAAAAGGTCATAGTCAAGACTTATATCTATACAAGGTAAAAAGAGAGAGGCAACTATTGCACTCAATAGCTGAAGCTTTCTCAAAGGCAATATATGACAAGGAGTAGATTAAAGAAACAAGCTAGGCCTAAAACTAGTGTTTAGGATTGTTGTTATTGAGTCTGTAATATAATTATTATTAAATTGTAATAATCTCTAGCTGTGTTAAAGGTGTATTCGTGGTGAGGTTTGTAACAAGAAGGGAGTTCAGTTTCTTAGAGAGTTGTCAAAACATTTAGAGTTAACTGTTGAGCAAGGTACTAGAGTTAGTCCCATAAATTATAGGGAAAATGTCAAAAGTAAATGACAAAAGTTTTGGACTATGAATACACAAATATTTTTTCAATCTTACAGTCTACTGTCTTGTTGGTAGTGCAAACTGAGAAGAAGAAGATGGTATTTTGAGAACAGAACCGGTGACACTGCCTTTGTAGGGCACATGTTTCCTCTGCCTGAGAAAGAGATTCGCAAAAGAACAAATTGCAGATGAATGGCAAGATAACTTTGCCATTTTTAAATATCATTTTGAAATATAATCACATTTTCCATTTGCTAATCCATAGGCCATAGATGCCCCCCAAAAAAGAAAATTGCAGATGAATTGTCATATAGACATATTAACTATTCTAGTGACCACATATACACCTTTTATTGACATGAGTGTGTCTTATGAATATCCAACCTGACCTGGCAACATGCATGACAGACTTTCACCACCCATGGTGATGGGGGGTTTGTAATGACCCTGAAGGTCATTTTTGGAAATTTTCGAAAAATTACCATTTTACTCCTCCCGATAGCTGCCCCGAGTCTTGTTTGACCAGTTTACAAAGTTGGTTTCGAAATTTGATTGTAAAATTGTGATTTTTGGAAGTTTTAGACTTTTGGAGAGTTAAAGTTGTTAAACCCTAAACCCTATACCCTTTATGGTGTTGATTGCTACCAATTGTAGTGTCCATCAGAGTTGTAATTTTTTCACTACTCTAAGGCACAAAAAGAGGTGCATTATGGTTGAGATTATTGTCTGAAGTTGGTGCGCTAATCTCCTGTAAGCTTTCTCTTTCGCTACCATCATTTTGATATTTTTCATCTTCAGGTTCTGCTCATGTCTTGGACTTGGACGAAACCTCACCATGTGACTGCTCAATTTGTAGTATTTGATTACTATGGGCTGCAATATTAATAATCATGTCCTTACATTGGTCCAGTTGCTTTTTACCAGTTACCAACAATGGTTCAAAAGCATTCTGAGTTGGTAAATTTAAATTAGGACCGACACTCAACTGAAAGTTTCCAATATCACCCTTATCACGTCTTTGAGAATTACTTTGTAGCAAACCCAATAACAAGGCCAACACAATCAAATTCAAACAACCCGACAAATCTATTTCACTAACTCGTAATTGGAATTACAAAGGAATTTAAGAACTAGATGGAAATTAAAGAACACCAGTAGAAGGAAAGGGATGAGAAGCAAAGACTCAAAGAAAGGGGATGAGAGGACTAGACATTTTTCTCCACAATTTGCATAATCCCTAACTCACATATCACTACCCTTTTTGATGGAACCGTTTCATGCCCACTACTCAACCCAGATCCCAAATTAACTTGACCCTATTCCTCGTTCTCGGCCCAATAGCTCGTCAGCCCAATAACAACTTGTATGACATTAGTATCTACATTGGGCTGGACTCGGTTCATAACAATTCACCCATCCCAATTAAGAACCTTGTCCTCAAGGTTCAAGTCATGAAATCTATCCACAACTTTCTCAATTATCTGAAGAGTAGCAACTTCCACTTGCTGCAATGTCTCAAGTGTGAAGTTGGACAAAACTTTTCCATCCAGCAATAAAAACCAAAGAAAATGATCTGATGCAAAGTGCAACTCTATGCTGTCTTCCAAGAGTAGTAAGGAAATTGGCATTACTCCTATTTCCTCTGTAATAACTTGTCCAACTTTAACCAGAATCATAACACATCTAAAGTGGTAGATGTCTCTGCAACATATTCCACTATCAAGATTGAAATTAAGATGTATTCCCACCGCATCAGTTATCGGAAACCAATTTTCTAGAAACAAGATCTCTTTTCCAGTTTCCAAAGGTACTGTTGCAATTGGAGGCTGCTGAGATAGTGTGAGATCACATACAACTCCGAGAAGCCAACCAGCTGTGCCATCTCCAACTGCAACAATAATTCTCATTCTCTCGTCAATTTCGGCGGAAAATCGATCACCATTACCCTTGAGCCTTTCTATAGTCAAATACAGTCTACGTAAAACACTATCAGGAGCTTCGTCTCCCAAATCAAAAACTTTATATTTGTTAAGAAGATGACGAAATGTACGAAGAAGTTCTCCTCCAAGTTGACCTCCACATTTAGAGTTGATGAGCACTAGCACCGGGCATGTATGTACATCAAGTAAACGTAAATTGTTGCTTGAAGCATTCGGAGCAAGGGTATAATTAAGAATATAAAAGTTTTTATGGGTGTGATTGTGCTCGGACTCAGAATCTATCATTAACTCCAACATTTCAGAGTTATTCCCATTGTGCACTAGCTTGCTATCCTGCGGTTTGTGTCTGTGTGCTGAATGAACAACCATTCCAACCGTCAACCGTGCCAGTCTAGCATTCCAGCCAATGGTAGAACCAGATGTGGGAATATCATCTGCAAGCAAATAGATATTAGTGAAGAAAGGAGATGTGTTATCTTCTGTTTCATCTACGTCCTTCAATACAAATTCCTTAAAAATAACAGTCCAACTAAAATTTGGATCTCCAATTAACGATCTTGCGACCTTGTGGCCACAACCAATGACACACGACGACCAAAGATTGTTGTCGAACACCCTTGCTGTACTCATGTTGAAATATTTGATAGTTTCCTCGTCCATTGCAAACAGTCCCAAGTCATCAAGAAGCTCACAATTGTTGTACTCTTCCCCAACAACTACCACATTTCTATACTTTGCAGCGGTGATTGCTTCCACGAGCTTAGCATTATCAACAACTTCACGCATGAAAAAAGTGTTCATGGAATGATCAGTGTGCGCACTGAAAGCAGACAAGAACAGATTAGTGGGGTACTCTTGTGGTGGAGGTGTTTCATAGGATATTGGACGAACATTCTGTCCTCCTTCTCGACTTGATTGGTCATTATCATACTGAGACAGTTCGGAGAGGGGTTTGTTTGGAAATCCAAGTGCTTCATCTTTAGTAGGGTTATTAGATAAATTTGGATTCGACACCATTTGATCATACAGACTAGGTATTGAAGAAATCGGTCTACTGTCCATATAATCAAAAGTATCAATATTACTTCCAACAGAGGTATTGTCCAAGGAATCCACTTCATTACACTTCTCGGGCATTTTATCGAACATGTGGTCTACCTCAGAGTTTTCAGCAAGGAGATCATACGAAATTTCTAGTGAAACCGAGATGTTGTCCTGTTCAGAAAGATGACATCTGGGTCTTTGGTAACACCATAGTTTCATCTCTAAAGCAGTTAGTTTCCCCATCCGACATCTCCTTGAACAATGTGTGTACTAGGCTTGGTTTGTTGCGATCTGAGCGTTCATTCAAGTATTGAGGCGAGTATGAGTTAGTTATATAATTCTCCGCTGCCTCATATTGCTTGGGAATGGATACAAACTTGCTATAGGTGTCTCTAGTACGGGAGCGAAAACGAATCAACACTTTGTCCACAAAATGATCCCAACCAGCGAGTTGTTTGTTGCGAAATAACCATCGATACCATTCTAAAGCATCACCATCAAAATAAAATGAAGCCAATGACAGTTTATGCTCTGATAAAATATT